AAAGTAAACTCTGTAGCACGTCAGGCTCGACGGCGAACTTCTTGGAAATGACATCCTCTAGATCGTCCTCAAGAAATGAGAAATGTTCTACCGAATAGACTATAGCAGACACGCAAGCTGATGTTGGTCGGAGGGTCACCCACAGTGCAGTAGTTTTCTGAAACGTTGGCACCAGAGGTAAATCAGTGCTCTTGTCACGAATGTGGCATTGTTTTTTGGAGCCGCCGCTATCCGGCGAAATTTCCAACGGTACAACTTTTTTTGCCTGCTTTCGGTGAAAACTTACCTAATCTGGGTTATCAATAGTTCTGGTCTTGAATAACACATCCATTTTGGCACCTGTGCTATTTGGAGAAATCGTGAAGTGCCAAAAAAATGCAAAAAGCCCGAAGCCTCGGGGATCCGAACCACCAACCCAGACCAAGCGTGCCAATCGAAATCCACATCGCTAACCACTACACCACCGACGCTGCTGAAGATGTTGGCCAAATGCTCTTATGGAACTTCCACACGCTCTTTAGTACACAGCATGACATCACCACGACAACTTTCCAATTTTGACCAAACTTCACGTTGTTTTCGATACACAGCTTACGAAGACCCTCCATTACGCAAGTAGTCCACGCCATGAATGAAACACACCACGTTGAATGTGTAAAAACTGCAGTTTCCAACAAAATGATTTCCACTCCTTTTTTGGCATTCAGAGGGCCATTTAGCGGAAATGGACCATAGTTCTGTGTTCACTGCACCTGCCCCTATATCATGCAAAAAACCGTTTTCAAAAAGCGCTCCACGCCCTGAACGACCTCCCTCGTTAGTGTGAAATTCAGTTAGATCTGGGTTATCGGTTTGCCTAATTTCGTCGACTGGACCTCCAATTTTGCAGACTTCAAATTCTATACGTCTGTGAATTGGTATAGAAAAGGACACTTTGCTATGTAGAGCGAACAAATCTCTTTCGAAGATAGATAACCTGGGGTAAAAACTTGGGGCATCAACAGAAAATGGTCCGTTTGAAAAATTAGACATTACGACATTACATAGGGATCCCAGTACGTCAATTACTTGCAATTACCACGACAGCAGGACAGGGACTGTTCGCACAGAACTTAGGCAACAGTACTCTTCTCCGTATCTGTCAAGGAAACGTGGTGCTAAAGAGATGACAGTAAGATCCCCTTCAGCAATGACGGCGTGGCTCTGTCTCCTCGTCAGTGGAAACATGTATCTTTGTCCGCTCAGCCATTTCACCTTCCTTAATGGGAACATTGCGGCAAAAGAATGAAAAAAAAACTACTGGTAACACGAGGAATGAAAGGAATTAGACGAAACCCAAGTTCAAACCCAGATATCAGCTTGATCGATAAAACTAAAGTTGATGTTATTTCTTTGTTTCACGATCTATTTGTATGTTTGTCCTATCCCTTCATTGCATGAAGAAACTCACGTACCACTGTTGCTGCTACGAGGTTCTGAGAGAAGACACTCGGAAGGACATGGTGCTTGCACGCAGATGGCGATAAGAAAGACTATCTCTCACCCCATCTAGAAATGATTTCACACTTTCAAAAATTAGAACGCTGCTTCTTACAGGATATTTGAGATCGCCTTGCACCTACATGTCGAAGAACGTCGTAATATTCTTCAACACAGGCGATTGCAGAAGAATTTGTCACGGGAGCTTGGATCATGGCGCATGATCAGAGTTCAAATCAATGAGGCCCTCGACGGACGGACTATTACGGCGTTGTCCGGAATCCTGGTCTGCAGAGGTCTTGTTTAGTCGCTCCACTGTCTCTATGGGGTAGTTAGTTGCTCTATGGGGTAGTTAGTTGCTC